AACAATTTGGAACTGTACCCGTTTTCTGCAGGGCAAAATCTATATGCTTTAGGTCTTTGATGTTCCTCTTCTTTGAGGAGAAGAAGCTCTTTCCGTTAACAGCTTTATTGCTCCTCTTTGGATGGGCATGGAAGCGCCATATCTAATTTGCACCTTACACCTAGAAAATTAAACTTTCTCACCTAAGCTGTCTGATTTGGATGCTACCCTTTCCATATGACTACCTTAATGTTGGCTCCAATGTGACTAAATTTGCAGTTTTGAAACAACTCTAACCAAAATTCTCATTCACTGAAGGGCGTCTATACATTTTTGTGCGTGTCAGCAATTTCAAAACTGATTGAAGATGTAGATTCGTCAATAGCCAATGTTGAGGTTTGGAGTCGTGATAAGACACTTTATGAAACACTGTTGTGATTCGTTTCCCCTTTAGGAGGGATGTCTGAAGGTGGTCGATCGCTGCAAGAACATTTTTAAACTAGCCCAAGGCGAGTACATTGCTCCAGAGAAATTGGAACTCGTCTATCAACAGAGCGCATTAATCAGCCAGATCTTTGTCGACGGCGACGCACACAGCACTTTTCCTGTTGCCTTGGTTGTTCCTGAAGTTGAACCACTTTTTAAGGCCCTCTCCAACCATTCTCCAAAAAGTCCTCATGAAACTATCGTAATTGCTCAAAACAAACCATCATTGGAGGATATTTGTGCTGACCCCAGAGCTAAAAAGCTAGTAATGGCGGATTTAAAGAGTCTTTCCGAGGCTGCAAATTTCATGGGATTTGAAAAGGTTATTTTCATTACCTCTCTATCACTTCATCATTTGTGTACTCACAGTATCTAGCAGTTAAAATGTCTCATCTAAAGACTAAGATGAGTGCGAGTTGAGCCTATCATATTTCCTTACCCGTTAAAGGTGAAGAATATCAAATTGATAGCAGAGCCCTTCAGTATCGACAACTCGATGCTAACTCCGACACAGAAGGTTGCTCGACCTGCGGTTCGAAAGCGGTATGCCGAGGAACTGATCAACCTCTATCAAGAACACATAGCGGTTTAACAGACTTCACTGATTCTTCTGTACGGCATTATGGATAGCTCAAGGGAACAACAAGAAAATCCTCACTACTATCTCTCCATTCTTCTCACCTCCTTTACTCGAACTATTCCTCATTAACTTGTTTTATTCACTCCTGGAAATGGGTAAAATTCTTCATACAATGGGATTTTGGTGTCCAACTGCGTTTTTTTTTGGAGAGAAATTAACCCAGTAAAGTTAATTACTGCCGGTTTCATCTCTCATTGTGATTAAGCGCCTACTTATTTCTACTTAAGGAAAAATTCGATTCTATGAAGGTATTTTTTGCGCTATCGATCCCTCATAGAAGTAAAATGATTCGAAATAAGTTTGACACCTCAAGTGAGTTCTGTTTAATGATGCCCTTTAGCAGTACAGCTAGTTGAGTGGTTCGCCGAGATGTTTAGTCATCAAAGTTATTTTGATGCGTACTTGAGATGCG